TAAATAAATAAAATCTTAAAAAAAAAATAATAAAAATAAATAAATAAATAAATATCACAATATATCTTACCATATATCTAAGGTGGAACAATCAGTTCAAATTCACTTAGTTTCCATAAGAATGTTTTATACCTGCCTAAGTATAACCTTTGTGTCTCTATTTAGAAAATGTGTTCATGATGGCATTGAGACATCCAGAGTCAGACTTTTTAAGGGATTATTTTACTTCTTGGGTAATTAAGGCAATTTAGCCTGTGGTGTAGAGGCTATGAATAGCACTTGAGGGATGAGGCATGTAATAATTACCCAGAAAACTACTAATATGTATTATGGCTCAGTTATAACATGCATTTAGAATGGCAGCAGACCGAATCAATATTGAAAACCAGAGCACACATTCATAGTAAACATTCTGAATATCTAAAAGCAAAAATGAAGACTCCTTTTACATAAAAGAATATTTTGAGAAAAATCTCTCCTGATAAACCTTCCAGCCAAGCTTATCAAAATTAACCTTGTTCATGTTACTGATTTTGGTCTTGTTTGTGTTCAGACGAAGCACATGTTTTAAAGAAAATGGTAGGGATTTCTAGATTACTGCAACATGTAGCTGTAAATATATATTATATTTTATACATACATTTTGTTAATTATGTACTTTCATATATATGTATGTTTGTCTATGTGTTGTCTTTTTCCTCACATTAGAATGTAAACTCCATGAGGGTGAGGAATTTTCCCTTTTTTCCCCATTGCTATAAATAAATATATTTGTTGAATGGATATAAACTTTCAGTTATTGAATCTAGTGACAGTCATCATCATCTGGCCTTATACAATAACCCAGATTTCACTTTCTATATATAATAAAATTATCTAAAAGGCACTGCAATAGGGCGGGGATGATGGGGATAAAAGAATCTCTAAAGTGGTAGAGTATTTTAAGTGTCTGATTCACTTTCTACCTTAAAGCTAGTTTGATTTTTAATTTTAAGAATTTACTAGGTCATAAGAAAAACATTCTTCTTTGGCGTTTATACTGTTTGTCTCCTACAAAGAATAATGTAATGGTGTTTGTTGTTATTTTTATTGTTGGTAAGTCCTTCACATGTATGACTTTAAAATAATGCTCTGTTTTCTTAATTAATGAGTAGTTATTGATTTTGTTTGTTTGTCACTTCTAAACAGGAGGAATCTTCAAATTTAATGCAACACATCTTAGATTTCTTCCAGACTTTGACAGATGGCTCATGTAAAAACGATGGTTAAGCAAACAACCAATGTATCTTGGATGCTGAAATAAAAGACAAGAAAAGTCACACAGTTCAGATAACAGTGTAATTGGACATTCACCTGTTTGCCATTTCACACTTCCATGGACGAAAAACTCACTCACCTCCCAGCATGCTTTGCCACTCTTTTACTTACAGCAAATCCATAACAATGAAACAGGTGACTTTCATGCTGCTGTCAGGAACGATCTAATTTCAGCTCTGGGTGACTGATTGCAATTGGCTTTGCCTCATCTGATAATTAATCTATGTCACCATTAATTGGAAGAGAGAATAATTACTGGCAGTGTTGACAGTGACTGTTCCCTTCCCCAGATTTCCCCATCGTGTTGGCCCAAATAAAGGCTTTGCGATTCAGTACTTAAAGTTTGTTTAAACTGTAACAATACCTATGCCCATGTGACACTTTCAGACACTCTATCTAATGTACTTTTGTTTTTGTGTTTACCCATCTTTTTTAGCTCACTGAGAGCTGTCTCTCTCAATCACTCCTCAATGTTCTATCTTAATTTTGTGGAAGTTTAAAGTTTTCAATGAGCTGGAGATGAATGATTAATGAATAAATTTAAATGCTTCATTTTGTCCATGGATCATTAGTCAAGTCCTTTGTGGTAAGGACCTGAGAAAGGAGGGGAAATTATTGAGACATTAGCCTGAAGCAAGCTTGAGGTAAATATTATGCAAAAGAGAGAGAGAGAAAGATGGAGACACACACACACACACACTCAGAGAAAGAGAGAAACAGAAGAAAATGGAGAACTGCAAATGAACAACTTTGATGGCCCTGGTGAAAGACCTCCAGAAATTTCTAATCCCTGGTCTCTCCCAGTTTAGTTTAATGGGCCCATCTGGCCATTTGTTCCCCAAAGTCTACAAAAAGGAAAACATGTTTCAGTTAAACTAATTGTTTACAGTACAGTGCTTAGCTAGAGATCCAAATCTTTCTTCTGCTCATTAACATAGCAGCTTTGGTTTTTAGAATCTGCCACAAACTTAGACACTGCATATCTTATAGAAAGAATAACCACTGGTCCTAACCAAAATGTAGAAAATAAAGATCTCTAGTAAGTTTTAGTCTTTGCTTTTATATATTTATCTCTAGAGTAAATGATACTCGGCCTACAAGTACATTTTTACATTTTCTCTGCCTTTATTTTTATTTATTTTTTATTCAAATATAATTAATATACAGTGTTATATTAGTTTCCAGTGTACAATATAATGATTCAACAATTCTGTACATTTCTCAGTGCTCATCACGATGAGTGTACTCTTACTCTCTTTTATCTATCTCACCAGCAACTACTGGTTTGTTCTCTGTATTTAAGAGTTAGCTTTTTGTTTGTCTTTTTTGCTTTGTTCATTTGCTTTGTTTCTTAAATTCCACATATGAGTGAGATTATATGGTATTTGTCTTTCTCTGACTTATTTCACTTAGCATTATACCCTCTAGATCCATCCATGTTGTTATAAATGGCAAAATCTCATTCTTTTTTGTGGCTGAGTAATATTCCATTTTATGTATATACCACATCTTCTTTATCCATTTCATCTATCAATGGACAGTTTGCTTCCATATCTTCGCTATTGTAAATAGTGCTAGAGTAAACATAGGAATGCATATATTTTTTCAAATTATTGTTTTCATTTTCCTTGGGTAAATACCTGGTAGTAGAATTACTAAATCACATGGTAATTCTGTTTTTAATTTTTTGAGGTACCCCATACTGTTTTCCACAGTGACTGTACCAACAGTGCCTGAAGGTTCCGTTTTTCTCCACATCCTTGCCAACACTTGTTAATTCTTGTCTTTTTTATTTTAGCCATTCTGAGAGGTGAAAAGTCATATCTCATTGTAGTGGTTTTTTTTTATTCTTATGTTAATCCCCATACATTACATCATTAGTT